TAATGGTCTATGTTTATTTGGAAGTGTTTGCATAATATTCTTCCGGTCAAATATTCATTGAAATGTCGGGCTGTGCTCGATGATGCTTTATGCCCACGCTGCAAGCAGGAAGATGAAACTCTCAAACATTTATTTTTCAAATGTCACGAATCACAACGAATTTGAAAGGGAAATTCTTTAGGTTTGGATTTTTTCCACGGAGAACCGCTGACTTTTCCTGTTTGGTTAGACAGCTGGAGACAACAATCCCCTGAGCCTAAGATCATTACTCACATCATGGCACTGTTGTGGGTTATATGGAAATAATGCAATAGTCTAGTGTTTACTGGCAATGTGGTGTCTAGTGATCAGGCTCTTAATTAAGCACATGACTTAGTCTCATCTTTATATGCACGACAGGGTGTACAAGATGTGGATACCCAGCCCTCCAATCACGGGTTATTATTGCCTACAAATCCCCTACCAAAAATGGAACTTCACTCTTGTATTTTGGCACACTCTAATTTTCATGATGGTTATTTGTAGGAATATGAAGTAATCATTGATGGCTTCTGGTGTAAGGAGGATGGTAGTGCTAGAATAGCCTGGATTTGTTACAATTATAATGGGGAACCTGTGGCTCAACGTGCTCAACAAATGCAAATTGATTCTCCCTTGGCGACGGAAGTAATGGCTTGTCATCATGCACTGCAATGGGCGCAAGAGCAAAAGTTTCGTCATGTTCAAATCTTGACAGCTTCCCAGCTTTTGGTGGGTGTTCTCCGTCCTTGGGAGTGTCCTGTTTGGTCTCTTAGTACTACTGTAATAGACATTAAGTTGGCTTTTAAGTTTTTTGATTATTTGTGTATTTGTAAGGTTTAGAGGCATGCTGTAAAACCAGCTCATGATTTAGCTCAGTCTGTAAGCCACTTTCCTACTTAATATATTCTCTATCTGTTTTGTTTGATTCTAAAAAAAAAAAAAACTAAGTCAGAACACTATTTACAAACTAATGCAATATGAAAAGGGAAAAAAAAAAGTTTTAATTGAGGATGCTAAAAGAAAATACATAAGTGAATTGATGTCTATTTAAAATAGTCACCTCCATGACAAGAATATGCGAATAGCGCATTTGTTCTTGGAAAAATGGTAACAAGTGATGAGTATAGACACATACAGGTCAACCCAAATGACACAACCTTACCAAGGCCTAACCTAAGTGAGCCAACCCAAACCTGCCGATCTCCTCATTTGGTTGAGCGAACCAAATAACCAAGTCAAATGGCTACAACTAAAGCCATTCGGAATAGACCGAAAATGAAAATCACGCAGTTATGCTCTCCGTAATAGGTACAACTAGGGTATGAGCGGTACGGTTCGAGTAAGTTAAGAGTAAAATTATAAATCGAATGATAGATTAACAGATCGGCAGATTGATAAATTACAGTTTAAACGATTTTAGACAGATTGGCGGATTGAAAAATAATCTAACCAATTATTAAGCTTTTGCATAAGATATAATATTAATTTGCATAATATTTTTTATATATATAACACAAACTAATTTTTCATATATATAATTGCTAATTTATAATAAATATCACATATTAAATCTCTCTCATACTCATTTTTTACTTTGATACTTTATTATAGGTTAAAATATATATATATATATATATATATAGCAAAGCAGAGCGATTTCGAAGGCGGTTTATAAATTTTAAAGTTTAAATTGCGGTTAGCGGATAGAGCAATATAGATTGATACGGATTGGTGCGATTTTAGTGGATTGAGCAATATTTTATACAGCCCTAAGTACAAGATAGTTACACAAATGAGGCGTCGTGTCCACTGCGTGTCCTTCTGTCACTTGAGCTTGAATGTGTACTATCACACAATTCCTACGAAACATACATCACGCGGCGTCCTAAGAGAGGGACAAGATGCCCTAGGATCATGATTCCTTTTGGAAGGTAAAGATATGCATACAAATAGAATGCACATTCTAGGTATCTTATCTCATTCACATCTCCTACATTCTTTTGTTATGTTATGTTTGGATTGAGTGATTTGGAGAGAAAAGAAAAGAAATTGAGAAATATGCATTTCTCTTATTTGTGTGGATAATCTAAGTGGAGAGAAATGGAAAGAAATTGAGAGAAATAGAGAGAAACTTATTTCTTTTACAAGTCTCATTTTCAATCTTCCCAAAAGTGGAGGGATTGAGAGAGAAAAGAAATCACTAATTTCATAATATCAATTTTGTCCCTATAAAAATAAAAGAAATAAAATGATTGAAAATATAAAAAGATTATTTTGGTAATATAATATAAAATAATTTCTTTTTTTTTAATAAAATTTAACCAAACAAAAATAAGAGAAATCATAATCATTTTTTTTCTTTTATTCTGTCTTTATCTTAATAAAAATGTGAGAAATTATAATATTTTTTTTTATTATTTAAGTAATCATTTTTTTTTCTTTTCCTTTAAAAAAATGTCTTTATGCGAATAGCGCATTTGTTCTTGGAAAAATGGTAACAAGTGATGAGTATAGACACATACAGGTCAACCCAAATGACACAACCTTACCAAGGCCTAACCTAAGTGAGCCAACCCAAACCTGCCGATCTCCTCATTTGGTTGAGCGAACCAAATAACCAAGTCAAATGGCTACAACTAAAGCCATTCGGAATAGACCGAAAATGAAAATCACGCAGTTATGCTCTCCGTAATAGGTACAACTAGGGTATGAGCGGTACGGTTCGAGTAAGTTAAGAGTAAAATTATAAATCGAATGATAGATTAACAGATCGGCAGATTGATAAATTACAGTTTAAACGATTTTAGACAGATTGGCGGATTGAAAAATAATCTAACCAATTATTAAGCTTTTGCATAAGATATAATATTAATTTGCATAATATTTTTTTATATATATAACACAAACTAATTTTTCATATATATAACTGCTAATTTATAATAAATATCACATATTAAATCTCTCTCATACTCATTTTTTACTATGATATTTAATTATATGTTAATATATATATATATATATATATATATTAATTATAGCAAAGCAGAGCGATTTCGAAGGCGGTTTATAAATTTTAAAGTTTAAATTGCGGTTAGCGGATAGAGCAATACAAATTGATACGGATTGGTGCGATTTTAGTGGATTGAACAATATTTTATACAGCCCTAAGTACAACATAGTTACACAAATGAGGCGCCGTGTCCTCTGCGTGTCCTCCTATCACTTGAGCTTGAATGTGTACTATCACACAAGTCCTACGAAACATACATCACGCGGCGTCCCAAGAGAGGGGCAAGATGCCCTAGGATCATGTTTCCTTTTGGAAGGTAAAGATATACATACAAATAGAATGCACATACTAGGTATCTTATCTCATTCACATCTCCTACATTCTTTTGTTACGTTATGTTTGGATTGAGTGATTTGGAGAGAAAAGAAAAGAAATTGAGAGATATGCATTTCTCTTACTTGTTTGGATAATCTAAGTGGAGAGCAATGGAAACAAATTGAGAGAAATAGAGAGAAACTCATTTCTCTTACAAGTTTCATTTTCAATCTTCCTAAAAGTAGAGGGATTGAGAGAGAAAAGAAATCACTATTTTCATAATATCAATTTTGTCCCTATAAAAATAAAAGAAATAAAATGATTGAAAATATAAAAAGATTATTTTGGTAATATAATATAAAAAAAAAAATCTTTTCTTTTCTCTTAATAAAATCTAACCAAAAAAAATAAGAGAAATCATAATTATTTCTTTTCTTTTATTTCTTCTTTATCTAAAAAAAATAAGAAAAATCACAATAATTTTTTTTTATTACTTAAATAATCATTTCTTTTCTTTTCCTTTAAAATACTGCCTTGTTTGTCAGTGAGTTCTTTAAATGTTTGTTTGTAGGTCACATATGAAAAACCTGAAGTCTGACTTGCCTACTCTACTTGGTTATAACAGCCAAATTTTAGCCACCTTGGAACAGCAACAAACAGCAACTGAATTCAGTACATGTACATGATAATTTTGAATTCAGCAACAAACAGCCAAATTGTAAATCATATATTAGCTAAATTAAATTATAATCAAATGGACAACAATCCATTACAGTACAAAACTATAAATACAAATGGATAACAATACAAATGGATAACAATATAATTCACAACCCAGATGGTCGGATATTGTGGAAATAGAGATATTGTGGAAATAGAGGGTAGTGAAGAGGCCGTGCTTGATAAATTCCCAAGTGTCCCAGACAGCTTAATCGCTATTAGGGCTCGGAATTTGCTGTCCAAATTACCCCAATATGATGTAGCTGTTACGAAAGGGTATCCTATTATTGATAAGGGAGGAGGCAGTGTAGGTGAATTGCAGAGGAGCCCTTTTCATCCAAGGCCCAACTCATTCTTAAAGCAAGGTCAAAAGGCAAGGCAAGGCAAAGAACAAGCAAACCATGACAATCTTTTCATTATTATGCACCCAATGATGCAGGATAGTATATCAATATTGGGAAAGGGACAGCAAACACAGACAGAGAGAGAGAGCATAAGAAGAAGAACTCACTGAGGAGTGGGTTGCCGTCGGGGGTCGCCGTTGGCCGTGGGTTCGCCGGTGAGGGTGGGTTGCCGGTGAGTGAGGAGAAGGGGACTGCGTGGAAATGGAGAAGGTCTGTACTGGAATGGAATGGTGGGAACAGAGCTATGTGCATATATCGTTTGGGCGGGAAGTCGAAAAATTACATTTTCAATTTTTTTTTTTTTTATTAGAGCCGTTGGATCTGTTTCCATAGATCGTGGCCGTTGCCCGTAGCAACTCAAGGACCCTCCTCAAGGAGAGGATCCGGACTCGTTGGGTTTTCTCATATGTCAGTGGCTTCACTGGCCTCTGTGACTTCAATTCAATTACTCAGCACTAACTGTTATGCCTGTATTTCACACACACACACGCGCACGCACGCACACGCACGCACAGATGGAGATGCAAACCTTGCTAGGAATAAATTTGTTTATTGTAAGTTATAACACTGGCTGGAAGCAACACCGAAACTGCTCTGTTTTAGTTCATATAGGCAGGCATATAACAGAACCAATCTATCAAGTGTGTATGCAATATAAGGCAAATTATAATTAACTGAAAGCAAACCAAAGGAAAAACAAACCGAGTAGCGAGAAAGAGAACCAAAGAATTGCCTATTTATCTATGACAAATATCCCCCACCGAACCCCTCAGTAGATAGCCCAACTAATTGTAAAAAAGAAAAAGAAAAAAAAGAAGCATATTCAGAAGCCAGAGCTTCGCATCCGAAGGTTATGCCCAAGGTTGGAATAGAAGCCAATGCTACCCAACAAGAACAAGGCAAGAACAAGCAGGCCCACAAGAATTATCCAAATCCATTGCTGCATCCTTCTTTTACCCCTGTTGCGAAGAGGTGGCGGGATTGATTTTGTCTTGCTCTGCTTTGTGAACTGAACTACCTTTTGAGGCCTTTTTGTTATTGTTGAAGGATTCTCCTTGATTTCAGGCTCCTCGGTAGTTACAACTGGGGATTCCGAGGTTGGAACAGCTTCTCCTTCATTGTTACCATCTGCGTCCTCTGCTGCAGCTGACTTCTTTTTCTCCTTCTTCTTTGCCCTCTTCTCTCTCTCCTGCACAAAGAAAGTTCATTCATACTTGATTGGTTCAGGAACATGAACACAAACAATACCATATGGTAAACGTGATTCACACGTGCTGCTTCACGGTAACTTGTGGTGTGACATTAATGAAGTCAGAAATTCACCTTCTCTTTCTGTTCAGCTTCCTTCTGTGCTCGTAACTCAGCCCTAATATGGGCCTTCTCTGCATTTCTTCTTTTCCTCTCTAATGCCTCCATAGCTTTGGCCTTCTCCTCCAGCCGGCGTTGCTCTTTCAACTTGGTTGCAGCCTCTTCCTTCCTCAATTCCTCTTCCTTCCTAGCCAACTCCTGCTCCTCCTTTGTTTGCTTATTATGCTCTTCCTCAATCATCTCTTCCATCTCATCCCTGCCGGAAACAGTTGCTGAGCCATTCCTCAAGGTAGGTTTCCCAGGTTTTTTAGTTATTGTTGTCTGAACTATTTGCTCTGGAACCTTTGCTGTGGATTTGTCATCTGTTTCTTCATCCTCCACAGTAGACAAACGCTTTTCCTGTTCCAGAGTAAAACTTGGTAACTCAGAGTTGGCCTTGCCAGCGGTCGAATGAGGCCCCTCAATTCTTTCATCCACAACATTGGGCAGCAGAGTTGTCTCCTCATCAGGGCCCAGTGCACGTCCATCCAATGTCCTCAATCTCCTCATTGTACTCCTTGTGTTGCGGCTGAGGTATTCATTTCGGAACTCATCATTCTTGTTCCATAATTCTATGACTGTCTCCACCTAAACAATTTAAAGCTAAGTACAAAGTGGGAGCCAACTTCACAAATATAGACAAGATGAGCATGGGACTAACCTGGTTAACACAAAGCCGGTGAAGTGCCTCTTTATCTCCACTTAATGCATATTCATTAGCTTTCATTGCATCACCCTTGTACATCCGAAACCGCGCGTTCTGAGATTTAAGAAACCGATTTTAATCCCAAAATCTAATATCATTGTTTTCCTCAATATGCTTTTCATTGTTTCAAGTCCAAGTTTCTAATGTCTATTAATGCAAAAAATGCATCAGAAATGGAAACATATACACTAAAAAATGATGCATTAATCATCCTGCAAACCCAAATCATTAGAAAGGCCGAACTCCAAAAAGGGGGAACAGGGGAATACCTGTTCAGGTTACACATGGAAACTTGTGAATTGACACATTATCATTAGTCTTACTACTGAAAACATGGTTGTTAGAATTGTATGATTGAGGAATCAAATCATACGATTCGATACAAGTTTCAACTAAAATGATTCGAATCATGCTATTGAATAAAAAATTGAGAGAGTACAACTCAATTCGCAATTCATTACGATTTACTATGAGTCATTGTGATTCACTGGAATTAGTTTTGTTTTTGTTTACATAATGCATAAAATTACATAGTTTTCACCTCTCAGTTAACGAATAAAAACGAGATTCATTTCACTTTAAACTTGAGTACATAGATGTAGGTATATACATATTATATTAAATAAAGTGAATCTGATCATAATTCACTGTTTCAACAAAAAGATTTGCGATTCAATTCACGATTTGACAACAATGACAAAGAATTACAGTGGACTACATCCCTCTTCAAGTGGAATATGCAAAACATATATTGATCAATTTTAAGGAAGTATCCATTAGCTCATCCTACAAAAATTATACATAAACTTCATACTGAAAGACATACGCACAAAAGGTAGATAGCCACATAACGAGGGAGTAACATAAAGATAATGGACAGTCTCTACACAGCATCTCTACACAACATAACACATGGTTCCCACATAAGCAAGTAGTATGAATGCTTTCACTTTTCCTAGTAAATAGTAGACTGCAGAAATATCCGTATGCTACATTGAATTGATGTGCTACTAGAAATCCATTGGACGACATTTCCAAGTCTCCAGTTTATCAATGTTTCTACAAAACTAGCATTGATTCATATTGAAGGCCCTATCGAGAACCAAGATTTTCTCAAACTAGAATGAAAAATCTGATCCACATCATTTAAACATTTCATCATGACATGTATTGTGCAATGGTGCAGTACCAATTTCTATTTTGTGCATAGGTGCAGAATTTCAGCATGAAGTCTTGTTGAAAGGCTGACATTTAGCTTAGGATAGTTCCATTGGCAATAAACTAAGCTTCCCGTGCAATTTCAAAATTCAATGCACTCAGTGTGGAAGAGGGAAGCTAAAGTGGAGGGCTAGCAGCACTTCCCTTCAATTTAAAGGAGTGAATATAATTATCTTAAGAGAAAATTAAATACAACCTGGCAAAAGTAGATAAAAACAGACCTTCTCATACAATTGTTTCTTTATATTCAGAAAATGTGCGTATGCTTCTTGGCGAATCTCATCTGCTGCTCTAAACTGAGCATGTAATCCATTCAGCTTTTTACTTTCATCAATGCATTTTTTCTCTGCTGCAACAACAGCTGCTTCTGCTTTTGAAACCTTGTCCTTCAGGCAATCAAGCTCCTTCTTCAAAATCTGCATTTACTGAAATTAGGTCAGTAATGGAATTACCTATTTAATGATTAAGACGAGCGGTTCCAACTTCTACAAACAGGCCCACTTTCTCTTTTGACTTTTTGGCTTTTTAGCCTAGTCTAAAAAACCTCGTTTGTGTTAGGCTTTTTGGCTTTTTAAACTCTTGTGAGACAAAAAGTGAAATGATTATAGTTTAGATATGACATTTTGTCTTATTGACTTTTTAGCCTATTTTGTCTTTTTGCAATTATTTTAGCCTTTTAGCCCCAAAATCTTTATGCCAAACGAGGACAAAGTTATCAAGATAAATAAGTGGTGAACTATAAACGTGATATATAAGGAAGTTAGATATCCTATAACGAGGACAAAGTTATCAAGATAAATAAGTGGTGAACTATAAACGTGATATATAAGGAAGTTAGATATCCTATATGTCAACTATTTCAAAATAACCAAATGGTGCCACAAGCCTAGCCAAAAGGAGTCTTGCATACAACCCTGAACTTCATCCCGGCTACCCATATTAGAGGAGAGCTGTTCACGATGCAGCTTCAGTTGCTTGATTTCACGAATGAACTGTTTTTCTTCTTTCAAAGGCAATGTTTCATGTTGTATCATGTGTTCCATATCATGTATCTGATTCCAGGCAATAAATTCAATAATATAAGAACAATTATGAACTGAAAAGTAACAAACTCATTTAAGGTGTATGCGCAGATTTTTTTCCTAGAAAGAAGGAAAGTGCTTACCCTAACATCAATTTGCTTGACAGACACAGCATTCTTCACTCTGTTAATCACAGATTGAACAGAGTCTATTTCCTGACGTTTAGACTTAACTAACGCTCGTGCAGCTTTCTCTTCTGTTTTGGCAGCTCCATAACTTTTATGAAGCAGCTCACAATTGGCCTGTTCGTAGGAGCATCACATAAATCATATGAATTCAATTCCTAAAATTGAATAAAACAAGGAAAGCATTCTCTAGATTTTTCTTAATTCTTACCCTAATAATTTGGATATCAACTTGAATGGCATCCCTTAGGTGTGTCTTCTCCTCAACTTGCTGCTGAGCATCTCTGAATTGTTTTTCATCAACATATTTTGGAATCTTAATCAAGAAGTGGAATGGCCTTTTCACAGCCTCCACACCTGTGCCCTGTTCATGCAAAGCGCCAGCACTAGACCCCTCTGGTGAAGATGTTGAGATCTCAGCCCTGTGAAGCCGTTCAGTGTCTTGATTTTTGTGATCAATAAGGTTGTCAGAATCATCTCCACCATTGACTTTATCTCCAACATCTTGGACATCCAATGCCTCTGGGACACGGTTTGGTGTACTTCCACAGGGAACAACAAAGCCATCCAGAACCACAGGTTGAGATACAGCAACATCATTGCAAGGCATATCTCTTCCACTTATGGAAGAAGAGTTTTCAACTTCAGATTCAGAATTCATATCAGCAGCACCACTTCCATTTTGAAGTGAATCATTAGCAAGATATTCTGGATCCAAATCATTAACATCAATTGGCTGGCTGCATGCACAATCTGTGACCTTATTTGAAACTTCAGACTCAATATTAACATCAGCGCAGGATGAAGTAGATACTTTTCCTTCAGGGTCAACGGAATGAAGCCCAGTGTCAGTTTCTGAGCTCATCTCATTACAACTTGTTACTATGGCACCTCCAACAATGTCATTCTTAACTTCAATTTCTAGTTTTGCATCTTTAGCAGGTTCACAACCAATCTTGATTTCCGGTGTCACGCAAGCAGGGGAAGGCAACTTTTTGGCATTTTCGGAGGAACCATTCAATTCAGTTGTATTTTGACTGCAATCGATGAGCTCATTAAGAACTGTGACTTGTGAAATACTATCTTCAACTTGAGAAGTAGGGTAGCTGTCTTTATTTCCATCCGAGGCATGTTCATTGGCAATTTCTGTTTCTAATGGTATGTCAGTCTCATTGGCCAAATTTGCTACTTTGTTACCCTCATCTACACCACTACTAAAGCCAGCAACCACTGGTTGACATTCCTTATTTTCTTTTATGTCTGTTCTCAAATCTGTTTTCTCTTCCTCCTCGAGCTTCTCCCCATTGTCAAGCTGATAAGACACAGATTCTGGCTTTGAGATTTGAGATTCCAAGCTCTCTTTAACTTCTCGATGCAACCCCAACTGGGTTTGCTTCTCAGCAATCACCTTCCTATTCTCAACCTCAGGTGAGTTGGATTCAAAAGCCTCTGAAACAATAACTTGAGATTCCCGACTCCCTTCTAGCTCTGGTGTTGACTCTAGATTAATGTATGCCATATAGTTCACCTCGCCATCATTGAGCATTGATGATTCACTTTCAGCAGCCTCTGAAAACACAATTTGTGCTTCCTCACTCTCCTTAAAATATGCATTTGACTCTAGATTATTTTGTTTCTCAGATTTCTCCTCCCCGACCCCTGAAACCACAATTTTAGATTCACAAACCTCCCCTAACTCTGCAGTTGATTCTAAATTAGTTTGTTCCTCAGACTCGATCTTGCCCTCATCAGGCTGTGGTATTCCACAATGACTAACCTCCGTAACCAAAGTTGGAAAATCCGGATTCTCTTGTAGGTCAGAAGCAAGATCCGGCTCAATTTGCATCTCATTTTTTGCCTTGCTATCAATCAGCTCCTGTTCAGATTCCATAGCATTTTGGTCCTGCAACAGAACACCATCCTCATCCATATCGCCTTTGACCAATGAACCGTTTGGAGCAACATCAGTGACTTCAGCAATGCAATTATCCTCCACAGACAGAGTTTCTCCATTCTTGTCATTCAATTGCCCAACTTGGCCCTCTACATCCTCTAAGGCACCAAAATCTGGCTCAATTTGCCTCTCAATTTTGGCCTTGCTATCTAACAGCTCATGTTCAGATTCCACAGCAGCCATTGAACTTTGGTCCTGCAACAGAACATTATCCCCATCCACATTGCGTTTGACCAATGAACCATCCGAGGCAATATCAGTTACCTCACCAATACAATTATCCTCCGCAGACACAGTTTCTCTGTTCTCATCATTCAATTGCCCAACTTGGAGCTCTACATCCTTGTTTGAGGAACCCAAATCTGGTTCAATTTGCTTCTCAACTTTTGCCTTGTTATAAAGGAGCTCGTGTTCAGATTCCACAACAGCCGTTGCATTTTGCTCCTGCAACAGAACACCATCCACATCCGCTTTGGGTTTGACCAATGAACCGTCGGAGGCAACATCGGTGACCTCAGCAACGCAACTATCCTCCGCAGACATAGTTTCTCTATCCTCATCATTCAAATTCCCAACTTGGCCCTCTACATCCCTGTTTGAGGAACCAAAATCTGGCTCAATTTGCTTCTCAATTTCTGCCTTGTTATCAGGCAGCTCGTATTCAGATTCCGCAACAGCAGTTGAATTTTGATCCTGCAGCAGAACAGCGTCACCATCCACAATAGGTTTGACCAATGAGCGGTCAGGGGCAACAACAAGAACATCAACATCAACATCAACATCAACATCAGCGACCTTACCAATGCAATTATCAACCACTGAAACAGTTTCTTCATCCTCCTCATCATTCAATTGCCCAACTTGGCCCTCTACATCAATGTTTAAGGAACCAACCGTAGATTCGGGAAGGGTGTGTGATTTGTTGACACACTCCACATTGAGATCGCAATCAATGGGATCACCATCTACGGAGTCACTCCGGCTTACCAAGACATACAAACCGTCTGGATCAACCTTGCCGTTCCCATTCAAGTCAGTATCTTCTTCTTCTACTTGTACTTTGTCATCATCAACATGCTTATTATTAACCCCATTGCAATCTCCATCCAATTTGGGCAGATCCTCGTACGAACTCATGTCCAACCCACACCTGCCCTCAATCGGAACCTCAGAAATTTCGCTACGAACTTCAGCTTCCGACGCCATTGAACGGATCAGGTAATTCACAGCAGAAGCTGTAATAATAAAAAGGCAAAAATTGTAGTAATTGTTTGTTACAATCAAGATCGGGAGATCCAACGGCGGTGGTAGGAATTCAATGCAAAAACAAAAGCAAAAGCAAGAAAGAAAAGCATGCAAAATGCAAAGGGATCGAATGAACTTACAGGGATCCGTTTGATCCAGATGCGGGATTCACTACTTTCGGATCGTACAGCTCCAGTGAATGCGTAGCCCTCTCAATCTCCAGATCACGACCCAGATCACCCCAATTTGCACCACCGCCTATTAGTTTCTTTTCTTGGCACACAGACAGACAAGATCTAAATTGATAAATACTTTATATATAATAATTAGGGTTTTGTAGGATGAGAAGGAGAATAATGAGAACGCAACGCAGGTTCAGGGGAGGGGAGTACTCTTCTCTTCTCTCTCTCTCTCTCTCTCTCTCTCTCTCTCTCAAACAGAACAGAACAGAACAACAGAACACAATAGAAGAGAAGAAAAGAGAAGAGAGTCGCAACTCGCAAATACGGAACAGCTGGCGAGGGAAAAGCCTGCTGCGTTGGTGTATTTCCCTTAGATTTGAACTCCAAATAAAATACCCCCCACTCACTTTTTCCCTACTGTATTGTTTTGTTTTTTGTTTTTATTTTTCATTTTTTATTTTTCGGATGGTGATGCATTCCATTTTATGTTTGGAATGACATTGGACAAACTTTATTTTATTACATTATCTAAGAACAAGTGTAATAATCTTTTTTTTATTAAAATAATTATAATTACATATGCTTTTGCTTATTTCATAATTATTATATATGTGGTAAAAAAATTTCATTATAAATAGGGAAAATCGGTCTAGGGTCCCTTTCCCACTTTTTGTAATGGAAGAGATCCACAAAATTATTTTTTGATATCTAAGATCCCTAAACATATATCAAAGAAATTTCAGTCCTTTATACTATTTTCATCATCTGACCCACCGCCACCCCAACAACCTGACTCTGAGTCCTCATCTCCCAACACTTCCCAAAGCTTTACCCAGTGGAGATTCCGACTCCCAAACTCACCCATCTCACACCACTCTTATCCACCACCACCGCCGCCGCCGCCGGAGTCTGACCCATTACCACCCCAAATCCACCGCCTTTCTTACCCACAACCACCGCCTCCAGAACTCTTCCACCTCGTCGAGCTCTAACTCACTTCAGACTCCGATTCTGACCGACTCAACGCCCTCCACATGCTTGAACGCTGGCTCGTTCCGAATCCCCCCACAGCTGCCGCGGCCGTGGACGGAGGCGATGAGGTGGCCTGTCCATGTCATGCTCGACACCCAGTATTTCCATGTCATCGAATATCTCTAGAAATAGATTAATCGGAGCAATGTTGTGGCAGAAGATCAGATGCGCTTCCGACCATTACTGTTGATGATGGATTGTTGAGTTCAACTAGAGAATTTCTCTGGTTTCAACCCAGAGAAAATTCAGTTCAAAACCCAAAGAATTTCTCTAGTTTCAACCCAGAGAAAATTCAGTTTTCTTTTACCTAGAGACTGTAAATTTGATCTTAAAGTTTCAATTCTGTGCATGAATGTAAAATAAATGGTATTTTTCTTCAGGTAGTAACTCTATGGCACAGACCACCCGAAATCCTCCTATTCTCAACATCTTAGACGATAACGCATTTGCATCAGCCAGATCACAGACCTTATCAATAAATGCTTCATTGCTTTCAGCAACTACAGAGGATGCATGCACGTATTGCTGCTCATAAAATGCATATAGTTGATCCAAAAATTCAGCACCTTTGCCTTATGACTGCACAAAAGTAGGCATTGAGTTACAGGAAATATTAGGGGGGGCAAATATTTCCATATTCAGATGCCGTAAGGAATATAGAAATAGCTTTGGATTAAAATACCCATATGACGATGCAGCGACTTCAGAAGCCTTCACAAAAAGGAGACTGGGAAAACTCGCACCTGGATTAGCATTAAATAGCATGCCTAAGCGAGCGTTTTTAGATCTTCTATCTGTGACACAGTGAAAGCTTTCAACAACATTTGGTGGAGGATCAAACCCACGACAGAGAAATTTGAAATTTCTCTGGAGTCCATGAAAGGCTAAGGAAATTTCTCCGGCAGTGTCCATAAAAGGCTAAGGAGGCCAGAGAAATTCAAAATTTCTCTAGACTAATTTTCTCTGACTTGAATTTTCTCTGGACCAATTTTTTCTGGATTGATGTTGAGGGACTTTGGATATCATGAAAATATTTGATGTTCTTTATACTATAAAATCATAATATCAGGGACCTTAAAAAAAATACCCCTTATAAATATGTAGTGAAAAGAATCAAAATTTTTATTTTTTTATTTATTTTTTGAAAAATTATTAGTTACTCTTAGAATATCATGTATCCGTATTCTTTCACCAATTATCATTTATCATACTCATCATGTTTCTCAATCACTTAACAAAAAAATTATAGTATCTCACCTTTTATATCAATCATAATATTATAAAACACCATATAATCGTATTCTGAAAGTATCTAATAATCAAATTATTTTTTTATTATTTTTTTTACTACTTGCAACATTTTATACATTGTCAAATCTCATCTATCTAATATATATATATATATATATTTAAATTAAAACATTAGAAAGTATAATTTATCTTAATTTTTACTCTCTTTCTTATTTGATGCTTATGACACTCGGTTTATATGTTAGAAGTTATTTAGTGGTCATGTATTAAGGGACAAAATTAAAATTTTAATTTGACAGGTTGAAATTAAGAGAAGAAGAATGAGTGAGATCCCACCACTCACTAATTTTTGATTGGTCCATATATATATATATATTTTTTGTGTGTCCTTCTCTTGCTAGGCCCCACGTGTATGTGGGGTGGTAGGGTTTGGAGCATCACTCTTATGAGAAATAGATTTTCATGAATAACGTTGAATTGATATAATTTGAAGTATGAAACGATAATTTAATTTTTTTTTCATTTTTAGTATTGTTATAATTTTTATTTAATTTTTTTTTTGAAATGCAAAATATTTAAAAATGATAACGGAAAAAATATCTTTGCAATAAAAGGTTAGTTATGGGATGATGATAAAATTTTAAAATTTTATTTCAAACTTAATGCTTGCGTTGATAAATGAAGGTATGCTAATGGGCTTTTTTTCAACGCTATTCTTGTATTGGTAAAGTAATTTTGAAGTTATATAATTTTTTTTAAATCAATTTTAAAGTTATATAATTTTTTTTAAATCAATTTATTTTTATGTTTTTAAAAGTTGATTAGAGGAATTGATATTGGATTGTTTTTTTTTAACGGATTTCTTATTAAAGTGTTTGGTGCAACTTATGAAGTACAGTAACCTATATAAGTTTAAAAAAAGATATTTCATTGAGTGCATCATATGAATTTTATAATTAAAATGAAAAACGTTATAATTTTAATTTTTTTGAGTAATAATTATAAAAAAAAGAAAAAATGTTATAACCGGTATAACTAAAAAATTCATGAGTTATAATTAAAATAATGTTATAATTAAGCAGGAAAATTAGTCATTACTAAAAAAAATGACATAATTATGGTGCATATAGTATATCATTTTTAAAGAGGAGTATATTAAAATTTTCTAAAGTAAAAAAACTAAATAGGGGTACATTTAGGTAATTTTTGATTCACAAAAATGGAAATGAAATAAAATGATATTTTTTTTATCAATGTATCAAATGTAGAATAAATACTTTAATAAAATGATCACTTTCATTCTAATAAACTAAATATTAAATATTTATATTTATTATTTATTTATAAACTATATACAGATAATGAAAAAAAGGGTAAATTACATTGACACCCTTTGAGGTTTATGTTTATTATAGTTCCTTTCTCACCTTTTGAAAATTACATCCCTTCCCTGAGGTTTAAAGTTTAATTACAGATTACTCTCTCAGTTAGTTAACTGTTAAGTCCACTAACAGATTTTGCTGATGTCAGCAATTTATATTTTTTAAATACCAATTTTTTCCTCACTGGGTAAATTTAGAAATTACAATATCCTCCCTAAGGTTTAAAGTAGCATTACCAATTGTTCCCTCGATTAGTATTAGTTAAAAAAAAAATTCATTGAAAAAAAAATTAATTGGAAAAAAAATTATTTGAAAAAAAAATTAATTGAAAAAAAAATTTGTTAATCAAATTTTAAAATTTCTGTTTAAAAACTAACGTAAACTCATTTTTTGAATTTACGTTTTTTCCTCAAATTTACAAACTGAAACAACCATTTATAAACAAAAAAAATTATCAAACAAGTTTTTATGACAGTTTTTAAAATTTTTGTAAATATAAATTGAAAACTGAAAACGAAATGGCTACCAAACATGCCTCAGATGGTAAAAATGCCGTAAAATTAACAAATAATTAAATAAATTACTAACATAAGAAATGACTTATCAAAATATTCTTAGGCTATGTATGGTTTGATTTTTAGATTTTTTTTAGAAATTAAAAATTAATTTGGTTAAGAAATAAAAAATAAAAAATAATTATCATTTTTATATAATTTTTATCTTTCGAGTGGTTAGAAATAATTTTTTACAAATTAAATATATTTCTTCATATTTATTTTTTTTAAATTAGTTTTTTTTTAAATGCCAAGGGAGATCCGTATTAAATTGAAACCTCAGGGGGTGTCAATGTAATTTACCCTTTAAAGTATATGCAAAGGTTAAGAGTAAATATGTCATTTTAACCTAAAAATTAACAACATCAAATAATTATACTGACAAAAGAATCAATATAATTTTTTAAATGTGAAAAAAAAATTATAATAAACATAAATCTCAAGACTGTCGGAGTAACTTACCCTAAAAAAAAATAGTAATAATCCTTGCCCCTAGGCCGAAGTAGCCATTACGGCCTTTTTACTTAGTCCTTCGCGTTTTGGGCCTCGAAACCAAACTCGGAGCTCGGCCCAATTTTTCCCAAAAATTACCCTCTCAATATTTATTTTTTTTAAATTAGTTTTTTTTTAAATGCCAAGGGAGATCCGTATTAAATTGAAACATCAGGGGGTGTCAATGTAATTTACCCTTTAAAGTATATGCAAAGGTTAAGAGTAAATATGCCATTTTAACTTAAAAATTAACAACATCAAATAATTATACTGACAAAAGAATCAGTGTAATTTTTTAAATGTGAAAAAAAAATTATAATAAACATAAATCTCAAGACTGTCGGAGTAACTTACCCTAAAAAAAATAGTAATAATAATTAAAATGGGTGAGGCGATAGACCCTGTACAGTTCCACTACTGCTTGGAGCCTTTATACACATCATTCATGTAGGGACGTTTGTCCTCTTATCTTCTTAAAAAAATAAAAAATAAAAAATAAAAAGTGGTGGATCCATTATTTCAACAAGTAAAAATAAAGTAGGGGCAACATGTTCTAACGTCTTAGATTTTTATTATTAAAAATCTTTATTAAATTTTATTTTCATAATATAAATGCGGAAGCAACACAATGATAATTAGCAACAAATATTCTCTCTCGCATTACA